AGTTTCAAAGTCGTTTAAGATGCTGGGATTTGTATTGAAAAAAATCAGAGAATTAAAAAAAAACAGTACAAAAACAAAACTTTTTAATACCTTGGTCCGCCTAATCTTAGAATACTGTTTGGTGGTGTGGTACCCTCATTACGACATATAACTATTATTGTATCAAACGCTTGGAGACCGTCCAGATGAGGTTACTTTATCACTTATATTACAGAGATAGCTTGGCCGGAAAGTTTTCTGGTCACGGGGAAAGGCTAAAACATTACCAAATGGAATCACTTGCGAGTCGTAGAAAGAAGTTGGACTTTGTCATCCATCACAAAATATTTAGTGGAGCGATAGATTGTATTGAACTGTCAGGGTCCTTGTATATTGCTATGCCTACCTGAGTTCCTACACTTTTAATCTATTCCACGCGTCCCAGAGAACCTAACGGGTTACCGGGGCTCCGGCTCGAAGTGCAAGAGTAGAAACGGAGTGGTTTTTAGTCAGTAAGAGTCTGACACTCCCTCCGGCCTTATATAGGCGGGAGAAGGCATTCTATGATTTTCCTCCTTTAACCCTTAGAGCGCCACGTCAGTCACCGGTGCCTGACGCTAGTGGAGGTTTGACTTTCATCTTTTTAAACTTGGCAGTTAAAGTATTAAAAAAATCTATTCCACTTACTCATATAAAGAACCAGCTTAGGTCATTACGCCGCTATGCCAATGCTCTGTAGCCAGTAAGTACAACATAGTATCAGAGAAATCGGAGCTAGACATCTGCGAGGTCGCCGAGAACTAACGGGTTACCGGGGCTCTGGCTCGACGTGCAGGAGAAGGAACGGGGTGGTTTTTAGTCAGAAAGACGGGATGATTTTTAAGTGTGGGAGAGCCATGCTTCGGCACGAATGGGCCGGCTCGACCGGAGCGATACCACGGCCTCACAGAAAACCGACGTGAAGCAACGCTTGTGTTGTGTTTCGTCGTGTGAGCGAGGTTACCGGAGGCCCAATTACCCTCCCCTTCCCCAATCTCTAAATCCCCAACGATCCTCCAACTCCTAATCCCCAAAAGGCCGGCAACGCATTTGTAACGCCTCTGGTGTTCCAGGTTTCCATGGGCGACGCCGATTGCTTACCATCAGGTGATCCGTCTGCTCGTTTACCGGCTTATGCCATAAAAAAAGAGTCTGACACTCCCTCCCGCCTCACTCAGGCGGGTCAGCAGTCATTCAATGATTTTCACTCCTTAACTCGTCGAGTACCGGTTTTATAGACACAATTAAAGAACAATAGGTCGCGGTCACCGGTGACCGCTTGGTGTTTGACAGTTTAAAAAAAAGCCATCTGCAACTGTTGATGTTCCGTTTTTATTTTCAAGCTCCTAATTAATTAATACCACAAAATTGTATAACGCTGTCAGATTATTCTTTAAGCAACTTGTTGCATTGCAGCACTGGTTTTTTTTATTCCTGTGAACCATTACAAGTGGTACTCTATCTAACTACATATTATTTGAATTTTTATGTTATTCACTTAGTCGGTAAATAACGTGCAATCCTATAATTGAAAGAGTGACTTACCTAACCTAAAATGTATGATATTCATGGATTGTGCTGTGCACATTTTTGTTGGAGATCCTACAATACTTCCTTTTTCATGCTTTAACAGAGTTTATGTAGCAGATCCGGGAATCGAACCCACATCAATCAGTCGGTCAGTAGTGATTATAAATTGCCTTAAGCGTGGTACGCCGGAACGTAGATCTACGCGAGACACAATGTATTTTTTATTGTGTCTCATGTACCAACACGCGAAAGATTAAGTTTGGGTCCATCCCCTATACTAATTAATACTCTTTGGTCCATATCCACAATTTTAATAAATGCAGCTGCCTAAGTAAAGTGGGCAACGGACATAATAATATTTTATCTTCTTGCCCTTTAGCTAATTCTTAACTAGTATAGTTAGAAACTGACAACTCTTGACAGTATTAACTTTTTCAGTTCCATAACTTTAGGATGCCATGAAGAGTTATTTATTAGTTGTTCCATTCAATAATTCGAAACAAATTAAGGCTTCAGTAACTAGTTAATAATATATAGTATTATGTATCAACTTTATTTAATTAGGGACCGTGTGGTAGTTTCTTTAAATCATTTTAGGAAAATAGATAAAAAATAAAACAAACATTTCCAAAATTAAATAACTTCTTTTATTTCAGAGTCAAATTTGTTTCCTACATAAACGTGTTAGAATGATGACGCTGTAACATTAATTGACCATTACACTAATGGTACGCGCCGTTAGCTGTTAACGTTGGTGCACGAGTGGAGGGCCGTGGATTTATTCCTTTACACCGTGCTACTGCGCGCCTCACGCCCAGGCACAACACGTGCAGTGACCTACTCCAGCTGCGGACTCCGCAACTTATTCCTTTAATTAGCCACAAATATGACTGGACGCGTATTTATATCCCGCCACAACGGCACCAATACGTCTTCCCAGTTATATCTGAACGATTTAATCGCGCCCTCATAGCGTGGCGCGCGCAGTAACACAACTACACAGATAACTACTGTCCTTTTCAATACAGACTTTATATAATAATAATAATATAGATTTTTTATTATTTTAATAACTATGCAAATATGATCACAAATACCCATGAACCAAACGACGCGATCCCGAAACATTTCTGCAACATCCGAAGATAACAATAACTACACTCCACTACTGGGCCAGGCATCCGCATAGAGGAGGTAAGCAGGGAGGTACTTTAGTCCTCCCGTCACGTGACGAGACGAGGTCGTCAGTAGTCGCGCGTACCGCCGCTATGCGGACCCGTCCTCAACGTTGTCAACGCGTCTCAACTACTATCCAATGCCACAAACACCTAATTTTAATCAATAATCAACAATTATCGCCCACCTCTAACACTACACGCTTTATTTATACGATCAAGTGGAAAAATAATTTTTGATCCTCCATCGAAATCAAACTAACATCTTCCATGATATTTTCACATGGCAAAACAAAAATTCAAGGCAAAATACAGCGCAGTCCGAGAGCACGGCCCACCGGGACTTATGAACTACGCGTCAGAGGCAATTTATTACTCCTTCCTACGTTAGGGATACCGAGGTACCTGGACACTACAAACTAGACGTTATAAACAACGTGCGCCGCGCTCTCGGCTGCGCTCACATACGTAAATTGGAAAGACAATAACTACTCTCCATATGCTTATAAGAACACTTCATAAAACAGCTTTATATTATACTACATAATTTACATTTATATTAGGTTTACATTTTTACACAGCAATAATAATGTTTGTAGTTTTCATTATAATATACTCTATATACTCCCAATTGCTAAATATTGTCGCATATTAAGCATGTTTTTTATTTATAACGACATCGCATGGTCATTGATGTCAGCATCGTAATATTAACAAAATACTTGAATCCTTCGAATCACTCTCTATCATTATTCTCTCCTAGTTACAAACGAAACTATGAAACAGTGATCGGACTATTATTCTTTTAGAACATGTATTAGTCACTAATTTTATTTTATTCCAAGTCGGTAAGTAGCCGAATACACAACTAAATCTAAGCTTCAAATAACTAAACTACGGGAATTTATAACAATTTTCACAAGCGGACAGTTCACAGATGTTGCGACTTCACAAAAATCAACTCAAATAATCTATAAATGCTGACAATATTGTCTTTTGTTTGGAATGACACTTAACACTTTCTATAAAGTTTCAAACATCGATTTCTAAAGCATATAAATATGTTAGAATTTAGACGACTGATCACAATATCAATCAGACTTCTCTATACAAAACGATAGTGTTAGTAAAAAATAAATTTTAGAAAAAAATATTATGGCAAAATATTGGCGAAGTATAGCGAATGAGCTCTCCACGAATATTTAAGTTAAAAAGATCCAATACCGTTGTAAAACAAACCCAGGCACTCAACAAACAGCCGCGGGGGAAATTATACTAAAACAACTCACAGTGAAAACTTAACCACGCGGCCACACGACCGACAGTAATGTACACACGCTATACATACTGAGCTGCGACACTCGCGCCGGTACCATGTCATACTTGTTGGCACAACAAAGTTGCCGCAGGCGTTATGACATCACAACTAAATGATATTTACACAAATAATGCACATAATATAAAATATTATAAGACATAACCATCTTAAGTATATATTACGTTATATTTTTATTTATTACACTATGGCATTGCAACTTTGTGACTCGGTTGCGGCTACACGTCGACCTCTGTTACATAACATTTTGTTAGCGGAACAAAAAATGCTAAATGCCTTGTCAATGTAGTGGTATTTGTAAGAATATACTCGACTGGTGTGTCAGTTCACGATAAATATAAAATATGATAATCACAGCGTGACGACAAAGATTATTCTAACTGTAATGCCCATTGCATCCAGCAACAAAATAATTTATGATTTATCGTTCAGAGATAGATAAGAACGCAAATAGAACGAAAATTTTATAAATAAAAACAGAATAAATGAGAACTGATTACTGTGTACCATCGAAATATGTTCTTGTGTCGGAACAGGTAGCGCGCGAACTAAGAAATGAGGACAGAAACATACACAATATAGAAATAGATCTATTGCTAAGTATTTAGTTATCAAAGACGTGTTTCTAAACGTGACAGTAAAATGTTCTATAAAATAGCAATTGATGTGAATACTTTGATATCGATAAGTATAGACGACGAGCGTTTGACGTACAATTTGCTATCGGTCTTAAAACTATAACGTGTTACGTAAGAAACGGGAAACCTTGCATGTGAAACCCAACTCAGAGCTAATTCCCTACTTCACTATGTTCCACAATTAAAACAAAACTATTTAGAACAATTAACATTGATTCGTGATTTATTAAAGTTAACAATAGAAACAAAGAACCGCAATTTAGATTTTATACGTTGAGTTATCACAAGTAAGGTTTTACGTTGAGTACGTAGATGTCGCACATGTAGTTGGGTGTGTTGTAACAAATATGTCGTCAATAGTCCGCCGTTACGTTGGTAATGGTCTCATCCCCAGTGCGCGGGTAGCGGCGCGACTTGCTCGCTCACGCTACTGGTATTATAGGTCCCTGTGCACAGAAAATTTATATCGTTAATACAATAGAAGTGAGGCCAAGTAAATATTAAATATATTCGGCAGTTACAAGTTCAACAACGTATATCGTGTATGATTTTCTCTTTCTACCTCAAATAACTGGTTTAAAATCTACTTTAATCTACTATGAAGTATGCATTTTATTTGATACTCAAGATAACATAATGTCACTATTGCAATGTTATCTAAATAGCTTATGTCATTACTAATAATATCAATGATACCATACTCTAAAAATAAACCAAACCAAAACCATTTCGTTAATAGAAAAAATTAAAACTATGTATTTAAAAGCATTAGACATGCGAATTTGCTATTTTTGTTCTAAAGCGTGGGCCCAACACCTGTGCTAGCATTCTATAGATGTATCAGTGCAATAAAGGGGTAGAATAATATAAAAAGTGACATTACCGTACCTACCTCATCCACTGCTGCGAGGGAGGAGTGTGGGAGGGAGTCGACGGTTGATGCGACTGAGTTGCCACCCTCTGCACCACCTGGAATACACACATTCACATATTTATTAATTAGGTTACAATCATTTCACTTAATATTTACAACAGGACAGAGATTGTCTTGTTTTGTTCACAGAATTAATACCACCTAAATGGGACAGTGTTTGTTTGCAACAACAAGGAGAATGGACAAAAATCAACAAATGATTGTGACGGTAGAATCAGCTTATTCATTTCAAATACCCATTATTTAGTTTGTTATTGAGCACTACAGTCTGATAAACTCAGATAAACTGGAAAGGATTGATTTTAGACAGTTGAAGACATAAGTTGACGAAGGTGATATGTAACTGGATCATAATTTATCAGGAACAAGTTTTAAAGTTCTCATTATTATTTTGCGACTACCAACCTCCTGCACATAACACTTTCATACACCGGTTAACTTCATTTTTAGACATATTTTAACAATGCGTGTAAGGATATAGAAACTTCATTTATGCTATGGAATTTAAAAAAATGGTAAAATGTTACATAATATGACCTTTATCTACTCATGTCTACCGTTGTTATATGGGGTTTTTGTCAAAAATCAATACTAATCCGCAGATTTTGGTAAAAAATCAGTTATTAATTTCGGCCGCAAACCCACTCCTTGTAAAGGTCAACGACTGATTTAATGCGCCTGCCACACACTCGACGACTCATATGGGAAGTAACGATGAAGGGAGGCAGAGACATAGTGTAGCAACATTACTCGTCACACGTCATGCTCCTCGTCCTTCCCACTGCTCCCTATTTCGTCGGTTTTTGCGCGCGAGTCAAAGGGACCGGCAATAGGATCGTCGTAACTACTTGCGCGAGTAGAGCAGTATGTGGGCAGATAGGGCAATATCGCATCAAAACACGGCAGCGCGAGGAGCATAGCGATGAGCAGTGTAAGAAGCATAGTCTGGCAGGCGCATAATGAGCTATAGCTAATTATCAGTTTTTATATTAGAGTAAGTACGTACCTGTTGTACGAATGCGCGAGTGAGGTGTGGCGCGGCTCGCTCTGCGTGCTCGAAGGCGCGCCGCAGTTCCTCTATAGCGGCCGCACTACCTGACCCGTGCTTGCGGGACAGCTGGGGGAAAGATCATTCATTAGTCACAGATTTGATATAAATAATTACTATCTTATTTGAGCAGGAAAATATTATTCAGTTTTTCAAAATTCTCTGTAGTCATTATCTGTTGGAGGAGATTCAATAACTAGTCCAGGACTTAAAGTGGGATACTGTCTTAGTTATGGGTATTGAAAATTTATTTTCCCCTAACCCAAGAATCAAGCCCATGGCATCTTTTTTGTATGCACTGGACAATGACGTCATTAATAAGAATTTTGTTATAGAACAAGTTATTAAGTTACCTCATTGAGTAGTGGATATATAAGTTGTTGCAAATACGGATGCCTCTTCACTTTGTTCTCTTCGCTGTTTCTTCCTCTATCGTCCAGAGGCGTGGCCTGTAACCATAAAAAACATCTATAAACTCTCTTATCCCATGAGGAATTATTTTTAAAAACATCTATCTTCTCTTTCTTCCACTTTCTTTCTACATTTCACAAACAAGGGACGTTTAGAATATCAATTTCTAGAAATAATCCAGGAGATATTTGACTTTATTATAATTCAGAAAATCCGTCGGTAGATTTTGTAGAATATTTTAATCCAAACGACCGATAAATAGGTTATTGGGGAGTAGTAGTATTAGTAGATTTGAGACTAGCTTCTGTCAGCCGCCGATAGGGATAAAAAGCCCATCTGTTATTACAGACCATAATCTCTTTAGCTGCAATCTCTTCAGCTGTTTTGACGTGATTAATTAACAAACATACACACTAATTCACAAAAGTTCGCATTTATAATATTAATAATATTAGGATATACGAACGTTTTTATTATAGACTACGCTATCCCTGTTGGAGGGCTGGTGTTCAGTTCTCTCCTTGCGTTCGTCGCGGTCGCCTCGGTCGCGTTCGCGTTCCTTCGTGCTCCTCTGTTCTGCGTTCACTTGCACGTTCGACGACTGCCGGGTCTGAAAATAGTATTATATCATATTAAAGTTAGTTTTGTGGTATCACCTTTAATACATATTGATCCAATATGAGTTGTACAGTTATGGAAACGTAGGTGTCCGATGAGGTTTCATTGACTCTTTCTTAGCAACGAGTGCATTTTGTCTCAAATGTCTGTCGATGACGTTATGACTAATCGAATGAACATTCCGGATCTGGCATTTACCGGACGAAACGTAGCAACATTACGTCACCACTTCACTTTGGTATTTCGTAAGAGGGTGGGAACTACCTCAGTTGAGTCGGTCTATTGAAGTTGCACATAGCAGATAGACGCTACACCATACATTGTCATCAAAACTATTATGAAGTCTGTATTTTTGTCGGTTGAGCCCCAAGGACGTCACTTGTGACGTTCACAGCGCTTCACGATACAACACTCTCAAGCATTTTACAAGTTATCTGTGTGAGAGGAAATTGGTCATGAAAATCTACCGCTGGCTTAGGACTATGTTTTTTTTAATATAATAAGTCGATATACGAACAGACGGATAACCTGATGGTAAGTAATCGACGCTTATGGACACTAGAAACACCAGAGGCGTTACAAGTGCGTTACCGGCTTTTTGGGAATTGGGAATTTGAGGATTATACATTCGGGGATTGGGTATACTGGGGAAAGGGGGTAATTCGGCCTCCGGTAACCTCACTCACACGACGAAACGAAACACAACGCAAGCGTTGTTTCACGTCGGTTTTCTATGAGGCCGGGGTATAACTGCGGTGGAGACGGGCCACTCGTGCCGAAGCACCGTTCTCCCACACTTCAATTAGTAGTGGTGTATAGTTACCGGCAGTTTGTCTGGCGTGTTGTTGTTGAGTGCGTGCGGCGCGTGCGCGGCGTGCGGCGCGGGCGCGGGCGGCGGCGCGACGGCCGGCTCCGCGCTCAGCGGCGCCGCGCCGTTCTGCTTCGGGCCCGCGCCGGCCACCACCGCCTCGCGACTTGTCACTGTAACATACAACAACATTGTTATAGTCTAGCTACAAGGCACATGCCAAAAACTAACCTTCCTAGAGGCGGGTAACCAAACTTGGAATGCAAGTGTACATAAGAGTACTCTGTATATGAACCTAAATCAATAAAAGGTTATTTTCAACTGGCAATACTTCGACTGTCCTTTTGCAGAATGTGATATCCATGACATTCTTTTAGACTAGCTCCAAAGACAAATCTTTTATCTGAACTAGCAATCGTAACATTTATAAATGCAATACTAATAAAGTAGTAACGAGTAACGAAACTATTTCACATTTATATCATCATCATGTTGAATAAAAGTAGAATGTGAATATACCATTATCGTCGTGGTGGTTATTGCGTCGTTTGTTGTCGCGCTCTGCGGGCGGCTGTAGCGCTCCGCCCCGGACCGTCATGATCCAGGGCTCGTCCGCCTCGCTGTCACCACTCCGACATTCCTCTCTGGAACATTAAACATCAATATTCAATAAATCTTTTATAAATACGTTTAAAAATCAGAGTCCAAACCCATCTTTTTTTGAAGTCGGTTAACTACTAAAACCTTCTAAATGTAACAAACACTTTTCTGGTAACTGCATAAGAATTGGTTGACCCAATCGTGAGATAATCGCGCACAAACACACATACATACATATACTGAGAACCTCATTTTTTATTATGAAGTCGGTTAAAATATCACTCTATCCCGCTCTACACCATATTGTAAAAAAAAAAATACTTGCAGTGAGTTTGTAGAAACAAAACAACAATAATTGGATATAGGAATTATGACTAATCGAATGAGTAACAAGAAGGGCATTCATTTGTTCACGTCTTTCGTGTCGTTACCGCTCAAAGGAGACTGAAAGGTTTCAAAACATTTTTGGATCGCTGACTTGACGTGATTATATTACTTATGAAACACACGAAACAGCTCCAAATTATATTATGATTATATTTTATGTATTTTTCCTCATAAAGCTTAAGTGTAATTATTCAGTGAATTGTTGGCACGTGTCGGCAGTTTGGCAGACAAGCTTCCTGTATTAAAATCACATTGGAGAGTTACGGGCTAAAAAGGTATCTTCATTAATATGTATGATGTTTACAATAAAGGATCGTTTAGAGAAGCGTGCGGAAAAAAGAAAGCTCCTAAATAATTGAAGCCTGTGTAAATGTTATTGATGATTCGTCTGTAAAAGAATTTAGTTCAACATGTGATGTACTCACGAGTCTGAATTCTCCGACTCGGTTTCACTCTCCTCGCTCCGCTGCGCCTTCCACTTCTTATACCTATCTATAAGATCCATTAGATACGAATTCTTCTTTGCCTTCCGGATAAACTGGAACTTTAATAATTCCTTAGCTGTTGGTCTCTGAAACAATTCAAAACATCGATTAGGTGACGAAACTTGATCAAATTGTACCAACAAACAATGGAAGTTTAAAACGAATTTTGATTATCCCCACCTAAGTTACGTTAGGACAGAAAATCTCTAAAACAATATATTTAGTGCAATGAACTGCGCGTTCATATCTCCTAGATTAAGGGATCAGGCCGTAATCCGAAACACTCGGGAGGGTTCTAACAAAAACACTGAAAGCCGACGGTCGGGGAAATTAATCCGTGTGTGCTATGTAACTTACATTTTCTGGGTCCTTATTCAGGCACGCCTCAACGAACTCTTTGAACGGTTTTGAGTAGCTGCCTGTCAGCTGCGGAGGGTTGTTCTTGGGTATGAGGAAGAGCACCCTCATGGGATGTAGCTCTGAGTTGGGAGGCTCGCCTTTAGCCAGCTCTATGGCGGTGATGCCGAGCGACCAGATGTCGGCTTTGCTGTCGTAACACGACTGTTTGATCACCTCCGGCGCCATCCAGAACGGTGTGCCCACGAAAGTGTTGCGTTTACTTGTCGTGTTCGTTAATTGGCCCGCCACACCTGGAAACATTAAAAAACCGAAATTAGTTTTAATTGAGTATTACTTTTAGAATACGTAGTGAACGGGCTTATAATAAAAAAACTTAACAATTATAAGGAAAACTGCTCCTTTTTTCCAATTCTCAATTAGTCACCCGGGGTTTTGAACAAAATATGGGGAGCTATGAAGGTATGAACAAAGTATACTTCATTAAAGTCATTATTTATTCGGTAACCTAATGCTAAAGTCTTAATAACCCAATACGTTTGTTTGTTACGTTTATTCTCTAATACCAATAAATTAATCAGCGCGTTAAAAAACACGAGTAAACAAAGAGTACACAAACAAATCACAGAGTGATTAATTTGTTTTGGTTTATTTATGTACAAATGTACATACGAACATTTCTAATTTGCTGTACCTGTCACGGATATTTATTGGTACGTGAATTTATGCCAAGTGCCAACAACGATCGAAGAGTTGATCGCAAATTCTTGAAAAACTGATAGGTCTGTTATTACGGTGGAATATTGTTGCTGAACACGAGTTAAATTTTGAGACTTCCAAATTCATGTAACGTAAAAACCTATATGGTAGTAAATACTGTTAAACAGGTGCAATTAACATTTTGGGCATCCCTGCGATGATGTGATCAAGTCAAGCAACGTTTAGTAAGTAGCTTTAGTACTATTCAACTCTCAGTTTAATGAAACTTAGGACTATGAAGCCTTCAACTCAACTAAACTTCATTATGCCACTGTACAATGTAACACCCACTTTTCACTATTTATGTTATGAGTCCCATGTGATAGGGAGTGAACAAGTATCTTAGCAATCATGCTGAAACTATTACAGTCCACGTCACACATACGTACAACAGAATGATACGGACTGATGCGTAAGCCTGACCTTATGCAGTATTTCATAAAATAATCCGCATAAGGAAGCTTATGATATGACGACAGTTGTATCATATATGTGACTAACTAATGGCGATAAAAATAGCTAGGTATCAAAGGAAAATATATACTTTTGTAGGTACAATAGTGATTCCGGTAAAATAATGTGGCCATTTTTTTTATTATTCTACCAAACGTAAATTAAAATTAGCAGACTGCACTAGTAGACACCAGTCCATAAAGCTACTCCAAAATGCCAAATATCTTCAATCAATATCCACCTTTATTACAAAACCATAAAGTAGAATGTAATAAACTTGACGTACATTAAAAATTAATTCATACATTAAGACGTCTTTTGGTTCAACATCATCTGTGGTCACATTCACCCTTCGGGTCGTAATACGGGTCATATTAACCGTTCTGGGCGAAATGTCAGGTACACGGGGACATTAAAATTGATAAATGAGACCTTTTATATTAACCAGCATTATTATCAATTGTTGGTCATCGTTCGTATGTCAAGGAAAACCACACAATGTAATGAGGTAAGGATAATTTTAAATACTAACATAAATTTTCCCCAAAACAACAATTCATTTAGGATTCAAAATGTTTGCTATAAGTACCTAAGTAAAATAAATATTTTGATTATTTTTGTTTCATTGATTCGAATGATAAGACGGAGTACTTATATTTCTGATATTTTGTATAGCTGACACAATTTCCCTTTTAAAATTGCGATATTTTTGTACCGCCTCGATCTACAAAGATAGCGTGAGATAAAATATAATTATTTTGGGTGGTAACAAAGGAGTATAAAAAGCAAAATGTTTGTACTAAATAATAATAGTCTTTTATAGCGATAGCGCCTCATCGGAAGCTTTCGAAAGGTCCGGCACAGTCATGCGGGGTATTTTGTGACTCATACTGTTTGTTTCCATTTAGAGTAAAACAATTAATACCTACTTTTATTTTCCTTGTACAGCAGCGGTGTGACTTAATGCAAACATACCCGCGATAAGACTGCCTCGTTGGCCGAGTGGTCGCAAGTGCGACTGTCAGGAAAGGGATCTCGGGTTCGATTCCCGGGTAGGGCAAAGTATTAGTGAGTTTTAAAAAAAACTCAGTATTAGCACGGAGCCTGGAATTGTGCCCGGTATATGGCAATAGGTCCACCCCCTATTACATGGGACTCATAACATAAATAGTGAAAAGTGGGTGTTACTTCTGTGTGCACCTCTACCTTCCCCTTCGGGGATAAAAGGCGTGATATTATGTTAATATATGATGTTATGTTACCTATCGATAGTTGATAAATTATAGTTAACATTTTCTATGGTAGCAACTTTAAGCAAGGTTAAGCAAAGAGTCGATCAAAAACTGCATTGGTACTTTGGTACACATTGGTACTACAAGAATATCGATAAAGCAGTTCTCTGCCCATAAAACCCGTCAATATGACGTGTTGAACGAATTTGTAGACATAAACCAAAAGGTTAAAGCTTTGAGTGGCTATAAACGTAAAGAGTTAAAATTCAGCGCCACTTGACTGTTAACCTACTTCAAAAACATTCAAAGACTTTATTCCATGTGTCAAAGATCACTACAAAGAACTAGAACTGCAAACGGATTATTTCTTTTAAATTCTACACGTGTTGTACGGACAAACAAAGCCAGATCCAGTAAACGTGGATGTTTGAAGAGTCAGAAAATCTTCACGTCTCTTTTCCCGAAGCAAAAGGGCGTTCACTTTACTTTGGCACGGCTCACAGTTGCCCCGCAAACGGTTCAAACATTGGCCTCAAGCCAGAATTCATGGCCATAATGCGCGCTTAACTTATAATGCAAGCTTCCATATTGTAGTTCTGACATGTTTTTTTTAAAACTTACTGTACACAATGCAGTCGTAAGCGTTGAATATTTTGTCAGAGAAACGGACAGTTTACTCGTAATATTTTCTTGTCAACGAGGTTGGTTTATGACAAAATTAAGTTATCCTCGGCCTTGTTATCTCGATTTAATTCCCAAAGATACCATCTCTAGCTGACCAAAACTTATTTTCGCCCTTCCTTACAATATTTCCCTGGATGACACTCCAGAAACTTATTAAAAGATTTAGGCCTTGATAAATAGCTCCGCTCCCGAAATTTCTTATAATCTGCTTTTATAGATGCGGTTAATTACGTAAAGCTGAGACAGCTAGATTTATTAACATACAAATTCAACGCTAAATTATAGCTATTAAATGCAGACGGTGCCATTAACGGGCAAGCAATGATATTTATTGATTAGAACACGCATTTATATTTAATCGTCGAACTAAGTAAGTAGGCCACGCGGGTTTACGACACCATTCATCAACAACACACAATCTTCAGTGTTGATTAAATTATCGTCAATTATGTATAGTCAGACAGTGTTAGCTGTTGTAACCTCTTCCCTTGGGTGTCGTAAAAGTTGACACCATTACGTCGAGAGAAGCAACAGCATCTAACTACGTAATATAAGTACACTGTCACCATACAACAAAGAAATCAATATCATTCAAAGATCATTTATAACAATTGATGTTGGAACGTGCAGAATAACAACTCTACATACAATTGCTCTAAATTCTTCATCATCGATATATTTCTAAGATAAGCATCTACTGTGAATGGTTTTCATGTTCAAACTGCATGCATGGTTCGTTTTATGTGCGCAGGAGTAGCCGTCCATCCGTTACGATTTTGTTGGAAACTCTGTATCACTACTGCTTAGCGTTCTGAATCAAATTAATGGGTGGAAAAACCTTGACAGATGTGCAAGAACGACGCTAAAGAAAGTTAATATTTATGCAGAAGCATTTACATATTAATGGCCTTACAGTGATGCATAAGAATGTGCTCTTAAGGTGGATGGATGATGATCTCAAATGCCATTTTGTCGCTAGATGGCGTAACTTCCACAATTTGGAACATTTTCACGTTTTACGCCTAACTTCGAAATCTTTAATAGATAACTTTATTGTTCGCGAAACCTAGGGCATTAACTTGATTTTTTAGATAGTCGTTGTGCTTGTTATCTGGTCTCATACAAAGATTACTACAAAATAAAGATTTAGCCGCTTCACTTTACTGTTTACACACACATGCAAAGTAAATAGTAGTAACTTTCGACACCACCAGATGTCGTTATACTATAAAAATATTAATTTACATACTTGAAATTATGTTCCCATCTATTTCTTATTAGTATAATAATTGGTCTAAGTATACTTTTGTTTCTAGACTCGATATCTAGCAAATTATTCATAAAATTTATTTTAGGTAAAATAGGTACCTACACTGTACACTATATACTATACCCCTAGACCCTACACCTGTCGCGGAGAACCTAACGGGTAACCGGGGCTCCGGCTCGACGTGCAGGAAAAGGAACGGGGTGGTTTTTAGTCAGTAAGAGTCTGACACTCCCTTCCGCCTCACCCAGGCGGGAGCAGTCATTCGATGATTTTCCCCCCTTAAAAAAAAAAAGACCCTACACCTAAAAAATTGTTGTAATGTGACTGAACCTAAATTGTAATGTGTAAATAGTGACTTTACTAAATAAATAAATGAAAGACTATTTATTCCATTGTAAAGCTTTTTATTGTACCTTACTATAAATTAATAATATTTATTTAGTAAAACTAAGTTAACATTTTCATAAAATAATCGTTTTATTTACTCTCACTACATTTACTTAGATAGTTTCCATCTGAATTCAAACCATGGAGTCATACCACCATACAAAGATAACATAATTTTTTAATTGTTTTGATATTTACTTAGTTTTATAATTTTAAATTTAGTATTAGAAAGAATTATTATGTATGTAGATCACAATATAAATAACATCATAAGTATATATAACGGCACATGTAAGTTTGCAAGTATCTTACATTTATTTATTTCAATTAATTAGTATAACATTACAGTCATAAAACCAACAACAAGTGGTTGCTAGCTAACCATAACATTTATTTATGTTTCAAGAATACATGTTTATTATACAATTTTGAACTTAAATAAATAATGTTTTACAATTGAATTGTTAGGCTGGTACCATTTAGGTGAGCATGAGGCAAACTTATATACACAGAAAAATCTTATGGACTAACAAAATAACACAAACTATACATCGCACAAGTGGTTGCTAGCTAACCATAACATTTATTTATGTTTCAAGAATACCTATTTATTTTACAATTTTGAACTTCAATAAATATTGTTTTACAATTGAATTGTTAGGCTGGTACCTAAATGCATGAGGCAAACTTATCTACACAGAAAAATCTTATGGACTAACAAAATAACACAAACTTTACATAGCTACGTGCAAAAATAGCTTATTAATTATTCTATAATGTTCACACTGCTGAGAATCAGGCTACACAAAGCAAAGTGCCGGCTAGGATTCGAACAATCAACTCGTACCACCATACAAAGATTCTTATATATATTATAATAAAATATCTTCTTTTTGCAGTCACCGCCGCCACCGCCGCGCCATATCAGTCTTCTGTTTATCGCTTTTTACTTCCATTTATAATTTCCGTGCAATCTGAATCAAATGCTGGAAGACGCAGTTTTCGCTGCAACAAATGAATTTACACAGTTTTGTTAGACTATTCTTACTGAACCCACACCTCAGAGCCCTGAGAAATAAGTTAGGAAATGAATAAGACTTATATTTTTATACCTTTTAATTCCTTGATGTCCAGACATTTAGCATTTTTCTCAACTCTTCTCAAAATAATTTCCGGCAGTGTGTACTGCCGGAAATTATTTTATCTTTTAAAAACTGTCACCAACTTCGGCATCATAGTACTGATAAATTCCTCATTCTGGTTAACTTCTATGACAGTCAATGGTTGGGTGACTGATATATAGCAAATGAAGTAACATTTATTCATTTTGGTAATTCGCAATTGACCCTGGACCTAGAATCAAAATAATAATAGCTGTTAAAAAGAAACAATCCAAGAAATACATTATTTTTATACACACATACCAAGAAATAATGATATTTGATAATAATGAAATAATAATAATGATATTTGATAATAATGATATACTTACTTGATAATAGTAGTTATGCTTTTTGTTCATAACTAAAACATCATTTTCCAAATGAATAGGAAAATTTCTATTTTCTGATGCTTATCGAATATTTTGAATATCTGTAAAAAAGAAAAGTTTTTAGGCTTACGCTACTGAACCCTATTTAAAATATTCACGCGACAAAAACTAGTTATTTGTATATTTTTATTATCGAATAATTTTACCATCAGGGCTAGCTACTAAGAATCCAAATTCTTCATTAATGAAAAGTCCTGATGGCCTGACTATTTGCCATATTATTGCATAAACATGCTCTATGCAACATGTTCATTTTGTTTTCCATACATCATATCTTTAGTACAAATATTATTTTTATAGAGAATGCATTTCACATGATTGTGACATGGTGTGGCATTGGTTGGAGTGTAGCAAAGGGTGTGCAAGGAGTTTAGGACTTTTAATTATTTTTTCATCAAAAATGATAATTCTTATAAGTGGCTCGGTTTTTCATTTCTATCGTTTAGTATACCTAAAAATAAGATGACTATTATCTGGGCACTTTTTATCTACTTCAGGTTCGCCTGAAATTGAGCCCTAAAGGTCAGTTGGGGGAGTATGTAAAACACTTTTTGGGCACCCCAACACATTTGGTTAGGTTAGGTTAGAACTGTGACCCTCATAAGGCCTAGATAAAAGGTGTCCAAATGATTTTCGCTTTATTATTAGGTATACTAATCAGTGAAAATGAAAAACTAGCCATTTATAAGAATTTTCATTCTTGATGAAAATGAAAAATAAAGTCCTAAACTCCTTGCACACCCTTTGCTACGCTCTGACCGTGGCAATACGACGTTTGCATACCTAAAATGAACAAAGTGACAATCATTATTCTGCAATTTGTTAAAACTTTCTCAATACATAATAGGTACTAACCTTATCGAGCATAACGACCTTTTCTAGAACATAAACCAATGAGTATCAAATAAACTTCACTCACGTAAATCTGATTTGAAATCCTATAGTAATCTGATTTCTTCACTATAGATCACTAAAAGAACTTTCATGATGTCTTATGAATGCGGCTTGCACCTTTTTCCTTGAATTTTGCGGCCCTGAATACATAGTATGTCGTATACACGCAAGTTTATTAGTCGGGTTCATTTTAGGCAGTTCAGTTGCAATTCAATCTCAACATCAAATGTATCTTATTTATGAAATGTTTCAAGAAATTTGTAATAGCAGATCTAATCTAACACCACCATCAAGTTGTCAAGTGCAGTCAAGTTCTATTAAGCAGTGTTGCCAATTGCCAACACGACTAATACAAAATCTGGGAGACTGCTACTGAATTAAAATGTCAAAATTATTCTAAATACTATAAAACTATGCTAAAATACTGTGCTAACATTCTTCAGTGTGAAATAAAACATCTTTTAATTTGAATCTTTAATAATCAAGAAAATTCGAGTAAGAAGCATTAAGAAACATTATAATACAAGTATCCGTACTTGTTGTTATATGTACTAGTGTTTATTAATATATTTTTTTTAAGTAATAATAAACATGGTAAATATCCCGTTTAAGTTGTAATGATACTGGTGTTTATTGTTTCGTGTGGATTTCATGACAAAGTCTCTTCCGAGCCCCTTTTTTTAGTAAATAAAGCTCGTAGTAAAGTTTCGTTGCTAAATTGGTGTACGGATTCTTAAATATTATACCAAAAGGTTAAATTTTGCGTTGAAGTTATAGTAATACCACATTCTATTGCCATTTATTTTTTAATTCAAAGTACGATCTTTTAAAATGTATGGTACAATCTTCCAAAAAAATAAAGTTGGCAACCCTGCTTGACGCACTTTGTGTATGTGTATACATGCTAATAATACTAGTAAAATAAGCAATTAAGAAAAATTTAAATGGTTTGTCTGTATATTCACTAATGTTGCTGGTTTCACATGATTTAAATATGATTTAATCAATAGATGTACGTAGTACCTACGTTTCATTATTGTGTAGGTAGCTTCGCTAATCACCTGATTTATAACTTACTTATACATCAAATTCTATTCTCTGATTTTATTCAACCCAAACCAATGGATTAGTACCTAAGAGTATCAGAAAATGTGTTATCAGTATCTACTTACATACATTACAAAGATTTTTGAATCTGCAGTCAAGGAATGTTAGTGTGTACTAGTACAGGCAGGCTGCAATCACGGCGTCCTGACCTATCGGTTGACGCAGGTCCTCACCAGACCAAGGACACATCGCAGAGATATTTTTTTCACTTTATGTAAAGCATTAATTCTCATCCCATTATAAAAAACATTTTATCAATCGTTAATGTTAACTCCGTGGGTAAACCCGCGCGCCCGGTGCTAACTTGCTAGAAACACAATATTCTGGAAATGATTCGCAAGTTGTCAAGATTCAAGACATCACGCATGGACGGAATGGCAACAGCGCACGCGCTGCTTCTTGAACGGCAACGTCGCATTCCCGCACGCGTCACGTCACATTGATGCTTGTTCGAATTATCGGACAGCGCCATCTATTATGAATGTTTACCAATTGTAAACTCGGAACACAACAGCAACCAAATTTCTCGGTGGTTCTATAAATTTCTATCAGATGGCGCGATTCAGGTCACTCACACATGCAAAGACTTATCGTTTTTTATTCGGTCTAATTCTCCTAGAAATACAATTTTTTAATAAAATTTGGGCTATACACAAACATAATACATTATAAAGTCTCATTATAGTTCCTTTTCTTCTGCAGAAACTGTTTATTTACGAAGATTTCCGCACCTGAAAAATGTATGGCGAGGTCTAACTAGGCATCCACCTTAAGACTGCTACAAATGATAATCTTGAGTCTATAGTGATGTAATCAGTCGCACTTGACACTTAACGGTTGATGGCTTGTCACGGCTACAATTATGTTAATTATATTAGAGCATTCATGGCATTAATGTCACCGCCAGATTACTGTCACGAGGGGCTTACAACGATGCATGCTAATACGACCCATATATAACTGATTTTATAATTTTACTTAAAATGATAATTTGCGTTGTTGATAATAAAATTGTTGATAGCAGAAATGTCGTCGTTGAAAACCTACCTACATCATACTTTTTTGCACCACACTAAATAAAAGTCGACGTCAAAAAATCTTACTTGGACTCTTATAAAGACATTTAGTGGTCGAAAAACCGTCCACAAAGAGACTTATGAAAAGCTCGACTTTTATATAACTTTCATATCCTTATGAATACTGGCATCAAAACCTATTCTTCATTCAATAAAGACGTTATTCTGAAATCAGTTCGTATTTTTCATCTTCGTTTGAGAATATCCCCCGGTCGGGGACGACTTATCGTTAGGCAAAACGCGGTCAAGGATGGAAATAAAAAGTGCAAGAGGCGCCGTTCCTTATCTACGAAATTGTTACCCTTTTAAAATACTGGTGAAACAGCAGACGCCCAAAACCATTTCTGGACCCTTGTTATAAATTGAATGGTTTTCTGTATTTTGTTATGATGAAGAGAGAAAAATAAACTTAGAGAGTTAATTGTATTCCTTAAGTCAGTAAATAAAAATCGTGCTTACTTCGTCTGTGATGTCTCAATCGAATTAGATAGGTAATAAGGTACTGGATTTAAGCAACGATCTAAGTACTAGATTATGAAAGATAACTTACCGAAATCAGCCAGCTTGACGTCGCCCATCTCACTGAGCAGTACGTTAGCAGCCTTTATGTCTCTGTGCAGCTTCCTCTCTGAGTGCAGGTAGTCGAGGCCTCGCAACACCTCCCGGAGGATCACCGCTATGTGCATCTCCTCGAAGCTGCCAGCCTTCATCAGGTCCAGCGCCGACCCCCCGCCCAGATATTCCATTATAATCCATAATTTTGTTCCCTGGAAAAAAGAAACAGGAAGGTTAATCACAAATACTATGTATTTAGTTGTTATTCTTAAGTAGATTCAAGGATTCTCTGGAACATATTGAACGAACCTTATACAATTCTTAGAAAGACACATTAGTTTTAAAAATTGCATTTAGATCAATGCAGTCAGTTATTAGCTGTACTTTGTTTACAGGACAGTTTCCTTTTAAGAGTCCATTTAAATATTATGATTAATGTTTCCAGAAGACATCATCTTGTCAACGTAGCCTTTTAAAGAATATTCTTCAGTTATTTGAACTCGCATCAAATATTTAAATATTTAAGTAAAAATGTTTCACAGTTCGCGCCCAAATACCAGGATTCCTTTCTAAATACTTTTCTCTGAAAATTCAATAAAAGCTTTCGTAGTAAATTGAGATATTTCTGTATCCAAATCGTAGGTAATATTTAAATCTAGCTATCAGACAGATTTATTCTATCCTTTAGGCAAACTGTTAAATCCTCATTAATAAACATTATTCAGTTCGGAAAATGTATTAGCATATTTAAACATATACATAGGTAGAAGGTACTACGTGGGCTGTTGTTGCCCTAGTCAACTATGTATTCATATGCGTCATTGTTATTGTATGTAGTTGAGTAATTTCTTCAGTTATAAAGTTTGTTTTTCCCCTGAGGTATAAATATAAGTACCTTATCTCTTAGCGCGACCATGAATGATACAGTCCGAATCATGATAAGTACATTAAATACTTGGACAAGGCTTGAGTATGCTCTAAAAAGAAAGATCCTCATGCAAAAAACAACTAAGCCTCGAAAAGATAACAGAAACCTTTTTTAATTCATTTGCGATAAGCATAAACGTTACAAGGTGTAAATTCACTAAAGAAAACTCAAAAAGCAAAGCCGGTTCGGATATTTAATCTAAAAAATGGAAAAGTACTCGCATAAATATTTTATGTACATTTTGATAGCAGACTGTTTTTCCTCTTTTTCTTTGACGGTATATTAACAAAGTAGAGCTGTCGAAAATTTACATAATACTCCATTTCTCCTAGTTAGCTACGTCTTACCCGACGAGATAAACACCGCTTACAAATGTTTGTTTTCATTGTCATATTGTTTTGAATAGACCTCTCTTTAGAACAGGTATCTACGTAAACAAGTGGTTACAAACATAAAATTGGGAATACCAACGTCAAAATAATATAATGTATCTTTTGCTAAATACACCCATCCTATCAAACATTCTATTCGATAACAAAACGACTGTATTCCGGTATTTTGATTGAAATAAGGAAAGAAAATCAAAACCAATAAAGTAATGAGCTCCAAATTAAAATATATATTATTCCTGACAACAAACACTCTGAAAGAATGTAACATCATCTGAGTAATAAGTTATAACTAAGCGTTTTAAATCCTACGACAAACATTTTAACCTTTTCGCCGCCCAGCTATACTAAACACGATGTGTCGCCGTACGCCAACGTATAAATGTATAATAAATGTATAGTACGAAAGTAGGGATGGCGGTAACATCATGTCGATAATGAAAAAAAATATGTGTAAATTTAAATTGGTACTCAAATTTACAATTAAAAATACAAACTGTTAAGTTATAATGGTAATTTGTTTTATTTTATGAACATTTATACTAAGAAAAATGGGTATCCGTTATCAGAGATGAAGATACATGCATAGAGTTGCTAGAGATAATAATAATAATTCGTAACATTAGCCACTTCACTATTCATTTCATAACGTAGTCTGTTTACTTCATATCAAGTCATTGGCGTTCAAAGCACGATACATTTCGTAAGGAATAGTTGTCTATGCTTTTCTTTCTTTCTATCGAGTTTGGTTTGCTTTTGGTTTTAGTTTACATTTAAAATAAACTGGCACGTTTGATGGATATTAGGTAGTCATAAAATACCTATTCGTTGCGGCTCTCGGTTTCGCAAACTTTTAGCTGTGTCGGGCGAACAAATATAGACCTGAGTCGATCACAAATTTTTCGCGACCCAAACAGTTTGTAATCAAATCAAAATGACTCAATCATTTGGATATTTCATAATCATGAAAATAATTATAGGTATAGGCCGTGCGATTAATTATGAGCGCTGGACGAAAGTAGAGGGGGATGCGCAGTAGCGATTTTCATCCATTCAACATCAAAGTCGGAATCAGGTTCCACACCTTGTAACAGCCGCAACAACTCATCCGAATCATATTCGGTCATTTTGCACTGCACTGGGAAAGAAAAATGTGCGTGCACGCGTCGCCCGGAACTATGACACAATGACCTTGACGCCTAAGCGCTTACGACGTCACAGGTTTACTTCTATTGAAGTTGACGGCGCTAGTGTCACTCGACATCTTGCCATTACGTAGAGATGGGTCTAGCAATATCGAAAACCCTCAGTATATAATAATTAATTTTAATGAAATGATTTGATAGGTAGATGTACATTAATTTTGAAACGCATTGTAATACGTTATTTACTGACCGGAATTTCTTTTTATTCATAGAATTCAAAAAACTATTGGATGGAAAAGAAAACAAATATTATAGTAAATAAAGATTCTAATGAATGCTCCTTACGCGTCACATCACTGGCCTACTTGATATGAAGTCGTTGGCGTGCGGGATATAAAATTATTTGAAACCTTTTATGTTTTACCTTTTTAAAACAGAAAATAGTCTGTTTTACATGAGAAAAAATAGTTCGTCGTGTCCATATTACAAAATTACAAAGAAACAAATGTTTTATGTATCGTAAATGTATTTTTTATAGTAGGTAGATACAATGAACTTCTATAGAAGTAGTGGCGTGGACGGCACGAAAATCCTGAACTTCTATAGAAGTTGTTGGCGGCGAAAAGGTTAAAAGGACAAAATATAATTTATTGTCAAAGTTTTAAGGCAAAGGAAACAACTTGTTTAGGGGACACTGTTATAATTTATGATACACCTATTTGTGCTTATTTTGACATTTATTGGTGAAAGATGGCAGACACGTCACAAGTTTTGTAAGTAAATATCTAGCAATTTATCTTGTTTGTTTTGTGAACCTTATTATCCTATAAGTAAGTAAAAAGTATTTACTATTAATCACTTTCTGATTGTTTGCACCTTTTTAATCCATTCAAAGATACAGTAAAAATGCTAAAAATGTGATTCGGTGCCACTGTGTGATAACACTAATCCAGATAAGCCGACATTATTGATTTATTTTAATGCCGCAACATTTTAACATTAATATGATAGAGAAACCCCGACACTGGAGGCGGTATTCGTATTATCAGCTCATTTGTATGTTAAATTTTCCTCACAAGCTTCTGAACGTAGCTAAGTAACGAGTTTCCTTAAATTAATCAACTTTGTTGTTACGTGTAGGTGATAACAGTTGAGGAACAAATTTCGCAGGCTGTAGGTAAGTGAAAACCCGCTTACTCATTCATTGCGTTATGAAGGTATAGGTACCCAAAATTTATAGGATCCCTGGAAGGGAAAAATTTGCATAAATTTTGTGGATAACCCGTACGATATCAGGATATGAGTCAGCTAAAGTTAAACTTCCAGAATGTTCCCTGATATCAAACTGTGCGGCTGTTGAAGGATTTTTACGACGGCACAAACTGCCACACTAAAGTTTTACAACAAATACTTACTTATGAGTTTTTTCCTCTGAACACTTCCTTTATTGAACGGCGTATTTATTATATCTAAGCAAGTTTAGGTTTCAAGCAGAATAATAATATTTTATACACAATGCCATTTATGCGGTAGGTACAGAGATTATGACTACGATTTTATGGGCCATCACATACGAATTCAACGCCATTAAAATCATATCCTGTTCGATCTGACGTTGGATCTGAGTTGGAAGTAATTAACGTGCGGATGGTGCACGTATAGTTGTGTTAGTATATGTACAAACAGACAGTAGATAGCAGTACCACTGTATGTAGGTACTATATGCAGTAATGCAACGCGGAAGACGACAATGGGCTCACCGGAGCACGGATCCGGCGCGACCCATTCACGCTCCATCAGCTATCGTACCCACATACACGTGTCAGGGTTACACTCAGCTATGCACGTACAACGTACATGTAAATGTATCGGGGTATCCGCACACAAAAACAAACAACAGTTAAACGGCTAAACCCCAGAATAAATAATATAGATTTGTTTTGACGGCGCAAAGCCGCGAAATAAATGGAAAAGGCTAGTCTGCTATGATGTGGGATTGGAATATGAGAATTCAATCTAACAAACTGTTATTTATTTTGGCGTAGCATTTTTATAATATTATTCTGATAATGTTTGGAATGAACACATAAATTACCGTTCGCAATTTCGTAGAAATTCTGCATGTTTAATAGTATAAAATGTTTTATTGCAGATCAAAAGCATTCCGAATCGTTCGAGCGTATTTTTCTTTAGTCTGTTTGTAGCATGAAAGTAACAGTCCAAACAACTATAAAGACATAATTTCGACAAAACATCAAACAACAGGGGTAAAAAGTAAAAAAGAAGCAGAAATTCCCGGAGCAGGTAAACAAACGGAGATACACCATCCACACAATACCTCGTAATATATTATTAGGTTTTTCACAAATCAAGGATGGGAAACGGAAACGCTGAAGTTATCAGTCCCTTTTTTCACAACTTTTGGGATTTGGAAGTTCATTTTTTGGGCAACCCTAACAATATTCGCAACACATCGGAAGCTATAACTGGTAACAAGCGATAATACAGGCACACAATCCTAATATAATACAAGATGAACGCAACTTACATTTCAAATGGAAAGATAAATATTCCATTCCGAGTTATTTGTGCCTTAGCCGTAGATCCGGAGTATATCGCTGGGAATAATATTATGTAAAACGAGAGCTTACTGTGCCAACAATAACAACTGGATAAAGATGGAAACTATAAGTTATTGATTACATTACATCTAGTATTTTAACCTATCTGCAAAGAGTCCATTTATAAAG